AGCAATAAAAAACAGAGCAAAGGGCTTCCCTGGTGGCGCAGTGGTTGAGAGTCCGCCTGCCGATGCAGGGGACACGGGTTCGTGTCCCGGTGCGGGAAGATCCCACATGCCACGGAGCGGCTGGGCCCGTGAGCCATGGCTGCTGAGCCTGCGCCTCCAGAGCCTGTGCTCCGCAATGGGAGAGGCCACAGCAGTGAGAGGTCCGCGTACCGCAAAAAACAAAAACAAACAAACAAAAAAAACAGAGCAAGAACTGACAAACTAATGTAACAGAATAGAGGCTTAGAGATAGACTGGTGTATCCATGGGAACCATATAGGAGAAAGAGGGTACCACAATGTAATGGAGGAAAGCATGGGGTTTTTGGATATGTTATTGGAAAAACCGGCTCATTAAATGGAGAATAATAGGGCTGGATTCCTATCTAACACCACGTGCAATGTGGGCTCTAGATGAATTAAAGAAATGACCTACGGACTGGGAGGGCCTTCTTAAACAAAACTTGAAAAACTCTAAGCCAAAGAATTTATTTACCTGATTACATTGAAATTAAGAATTTTTCTTGATGAAAGGACAACAAAGACAAAATTAACATATGAGAAGATATCTGCAAAGTTACGATAAGTGAACATCTATAAACTGTCTTCCACAAGTCAACAGCAACACAGATAGTAACTCCAATAGAAAACAGGCTAAGACAGGAATATAATTTACAGATGAAACTATATGCATAAGAGATGCTCACAATCATCAGTAACCAAAGAAATACAAATAAAAATGACAAGGTATCACTTTGCACCTATGAGATTATAAAAGGTGGAGAGCTAGAGAAAGCTGAGTGCTGGTTGGGACATGAGGATACAGGACCCCTCGAACACTTCTGGCAGGAGAGAGAGTGGTGCAGCCATTGTGGGGAGGAATCTGGCAGTTTGATCAAATTCAGGACATGCAAGCCTAGACGCAGTGATTCCCTTCGAAGTGTATATCCCACAAGTATATTACACAGCTTTATAAGTGGACAGGTATGAAGATGCTCACTGCAGCAATGTTTGTGGTGGTAGGAAGTAGAGACAACCTGAGTATCTATCACACAGAGAGGAGATAAGTAAAACTGTGGTTCACACACACAGCACGGAATATAATGCAGCATTTGGAAGCAAAGAATTAGATGTACATGTAGAAACACAGGTGTATCTTAAAAACAGTACTCAGAGAAAAAAGAAGCAAAATGAAATACATTACAAATTAAAATACATATAAAACAAATATCCCCACTTTGCAAGATCCTATACAGACAAAAAGAAACGTTATATGTGTTCAAATGAGCACCTGTGAAGCATGAGGTGAATGGGAGAAGGGAATTAAAAACAAAAGAAATCTTTTAGGCTCCTTGCACGTTAAAAAAGAATTCAAATGACCTATGATAAAAATAAAATTAGAATTGTTTCCTTCCCCTAAGTTTCCAACTTTCCTAACAACAAAAGCAACTTTGGTTGCCAGCTCTGTTGATGAGTAACAGCTTTTCATCCTTTTTCAAGCAGGAAGGGAAAAATTCAGGGATCAGCAGAGTACTAAAGGGATCAGTGGAAAATAGTCACGAATCAGTGTTTTTGTTCTCATGACCTGACAACCTGACTGAAAAGACCCCATTACCTCTTGATTAGGAGTGATTCAGCTCAAGACACGTGGCTGGCGTCAAGTTTTCATGTCCTTTGAAACTATTTACTTTCAGAACCTCTTCATATACAATCCTTTGGCCTCCTCACAGTGATTCCACACTATTTAAAATCTAAAAATCTAAAAATCTAGAGCTAGAGAGCACCTGGTTATCCTACAGATGAGGAAACACAGGCCAGAGGAGGATTGCGGTTTAGGGTCACACAGCTGGTATGAAAGGGAAGCTCTTACTGACTGTGCCCTTGTCCCCCTTCTGTCTCTCTGGCCCAGCAGCCAGAGTGATCCTGTTAAAACATAAGTCATCAGAAGCTTCTCTGTTCAAAACCCTCTACTGGCTCCCCCCTCACTCGGAGGAAAGGCCAAAATCCTTACAAAACGGCCTACACTGCTGTGCCCCTCCCCACTCCCACCACCTCTCATCTGCTGCACTTTCCCCTCGCCCACATGGGGACCGCCTGGCCACTGTGACCTCATCATCCCTCACACATGCCAAACATGCTCCTACATCAGGGCTTGGAACTTGCTCATCCCTCCGCCTCCTGCTCACTCTCTCATTCCTCTCAAGTCTTAGATCAAAAGTGATTACAGTAGAGGCCTTCTCTGACCACTGTGCACTTTGTGTGTACTCCCCCCGCCCCACTTTTTTTCTCACTTACGCCTCCTTCAGGTTCTCCACAGCACTTACAATCGTGTGACCATGATCCATTCACATATTTATTTCCTGTTTGCTTCCACACCACCAGAATACCTACTGCTTGAGGGCAGGGCTTTGTCTGCTTTGTTCACAGCTGTATCCCCAGCACCAAGAACAGATACAGGTGCTCCATGACTATTTGTTGAGCTGTGGTTTAACAGCTCTTTCATCACAGAGCTGATCTGTGATCTGATTTCATGACTGCTACTTTAGACCTTTCTGCCTTTCCAGGCAAGAGACTGATATCTTATAATTAGCTCCTGGCCAACGAGACTAAACGAGACTAAGTTATCCAATCTTGAAGATTAGTTTATTCAGATGTTTTCCTAAGCAAGGCATAATAAGAAACTATTTAATATTAATTGAATTTATGTTTAAAACTTTTCATAAGTATTCTGAATGAATTTTAAGGATGCTTTAGCTGAAGATCAAGAACAATTGAGAATTTCAAAGCAGATAATCTTGTAATAATGCTGTGGGGTAGGTAATACATTAACCGACTTCAGAAATGACAGAATGATAAACCCAGAAAAAATTCAAGCCTTATACCTGGCAGTGGGTATGCAAGCCTCCATTTGCATTGTAGTTTAACTGCTTTTATCATTTAAAAAAGTTCCCCAAATTTAAAAAGTACCTGTAAGCTGAACAATCACTGAAGTGTCTGAAATTTGAGAAATCACTTTTTGCTTATTTAGCCCAACCTTGATAAAGTGAATGGGAGGGTTGAGAAGAATAACGCATGTGAAGATTCACTATGCATTCTGCAGAAAGGGTTTCCTTCTGAGGCAGAGAGAAATGAGTTTACTGGCTCTGGAGGTTTCCTAAATTGCAGTCTCCAAGTTTAGGGAAAATAAAAATCTAAACACATTCCATTTAACCCTTTTTCAGAACGAGAGCCTCATGGAGTCTTGCACTATGTTCTAAAAATGAACACCCACTCTTAGTTTTTAGGAGATCTAAATGACAATTCAAGAATTATGATTTATCATGTGCTTTAAGAGGAGAAAAAGTAGTGTAAGTTCAATCAGTGCTTGAGAGAGGCTCTGAATTGCCTCTTTCAAGTGGATGAAAAAGGAATGTGAAAGGGTCTCTCAAGGTAAGAGGGACCCTAAGAAGAAAGGACCCAGAAAAGAAGAAACAAGAGATGGGAAAGGCTCTGCTTTGGGGCTGCAAGACAAAATAACTTGAACATATTTGGACAGATTGTCTACGAAGATTATTATCATATCTCAGTTGAAAATTCACACAATATGAACACTGTATAAAAAACATCTTATCACATTTTCTGAGGCAGAATGTTCTCGGCTTATTGCAAAAGTTATCTGTGTGCTGCACAGACCCCATCCCCAGGCCAAATTTTAGCTATTCTCCACCATACACAAAGCACTCTATTCCAGTTTCTGACTTTAGTGACTTTAACACTGAGGTAATTTGAAAACTCTCTTTTCACTTATGTTGGCTCAATAATGATAAAGAGACTGGGAGCGTTGAGAACAACAGTGAATTTGAAGATTCACTATGCATCACGCAGAATTTTTTAAAAACATGTTTTCTCAAAACTTTGTGTCCTTGACACAATGAGTGACATATGTTTCAAATTAACACGTAAAAATCAGGGAACTTTGGAGATGGAAGGTAGTCTTAGAGATCCTTTGATTCAATAATTTAGAGAAAAACAGGTGCTGGGGATAAACTAACTTGCTCATCACCTGGAATCTATTCTATGCTACGAAAGTAATAAACGCAGCACCAACTCTAAGAAACCACACCTGTATGCTGGCAGGTACTTCACTTTTCGGTATACAACTACAGATTAATCAGTTCTGTAACTTCAGCTATACAAACACGTGAAGCTAAACTATGCTCAAACGCTAAATATTAGTGCTACCACTGGCTTGCCACATACCACAGCATCAGTGATTATGAAAGTGTTTAAACACAAGACGCTCACATTACTATAAAAGAATTACTGTAAAAATAGACCTAAAGGCAAGTTATCAACTACAGAATAATGCTGAGTGCCCTTCATTATTATATCAATATAAATGACATAGACAATAAAGGATGAGATTCCATTTAAAGTGGGGTTTTTTTCATTTAAAATTTAACTCTATACACCAAGCATTCCCCACAGCACCTAATTTGAAGCAGACCTGGCCTGTTTGTAACCCCAATATTCCTTTATTCAACTGACAGCACTGACATCCTTTTCAAGGTTAAATACTCTGAGAAATTGATGCCTGGTGGACATTAGTACCTGCGGCAGGAATGCAGGTGTACAAAACTCCACCATAACCAAACTTGCATCTCTAGCCAAACAGGTCTTACTCTTGCTTCGGTAAGCCATTTCCCCCTTGTCTCCCTGACACAGAATCACGGACTCCTATTCCGACTGAATGTGACTCTGTGCAAGCCAGAAGAATCTCTTCATCTGTTAAATAAGGGGGCTGGACTAACACTGGATTCTTTTCCAGCTTTCAAATTCCGCCTCATTGCCGGAGTGGCAGGGTGGTGCAGTGAAAAGAGCCCTGGGCTTGCCTGACACCATTTAAAAAGCCCACGTCTGCATCCCTCTGACTGCCGGCCCCCCGGCCTCCAACTCCCCGGCACCTCCCTGGGCCCGACTGACCTGGACCGGAGAACTCCGACGAGGGCCCGGCGCCCTGCTGCCCCTAGGGGGCTCCCGGCCGGGGCAGCGGCCGTGGCGGGGCAGGGGCGGCGCAGGCCTGGCCGCCCGGCGCGTTCCTCGGGGCGCGGGTCCCTTCCGCCCGCCGTCCCCGGACAGCGACCCGGGCTCCCCGCCCGGCCTCGCCCGGCCCCTGACCAGCTCTCCGCCGCCTGGCGGTCCCTTGGCGCAGCAGGCAGCTACGACCGCCTCTCCCAGGCCCGCTGTCACCTCCGCCCCTGGGAGCAGCGGGCGGGTCAATCCTGCGTGACTCAGCGTGGCGGCCCCGCCTCCGGCCTCCCGCCCAAGCTTCCGCCTCGCGCGGCCCGCGCGGCCCGGGGGCGCCACGCTCCTTACCCGCGCGCCCACCCCCTCAGGCGCCCGCCCCGCTCTCGCACTCCTTGACCGCCCGCCTTGGATGCGCCCGCCCCGTTACGTCAGAGGGGGCGGTGCCCCCGGACCTCCATTCTGGGAAACTGAGGCACCTGGCGGTGCGGCGCCGACCCTGCTAGGGCAGCTCGAGCGTTGGCTGCTCGCGGAGCGTTCAGTTCTACGTGCAGCTCCCGCTGATCGAAAGCTCCTTTCCTTCCTTGCCGATCCCTCAACCGCCACACTCCCGCTCCAACCTAGAAAAGGGTTAAATCCCATTTAGAGAAGCCGCATGCAGTTCCTGCCTGTGGTGCGGTCCTCTGTGCTGCCCGGAGGCAGTTTCCTTTATCACCTCACAAATACTCGGCGTTCACTTCGGTCTGTTCATTTTTTTCTGAGGAAAGTCTCTCAGGACACCTTTGAGAATTTAAGAGCAACGAACAGCAGAATGCAAGAACTAGGCAGGGCTGAGAGCACGCTTTTAACTCGTTCGTGAATCCTCGCGGGATTCCTTTTGTGTATTAATGGCCTCAAAGTCACACTGCTTGGTTTATTGCTTGAATTTCTGTGCCTAGTTTCTGGGATCTACCTGGGGGATGCTGAAGAAGATGCAACAAGTCTGTCACTGTGAACGTATAACAGATAAACCTCTACAGATGGTCCCCACCTAAAACTGTTGGACTTAAGATTTTTCCACTTTACAATGCTGAGAAAATCGTAGGCATTCAGGAGGAACCACAGCAGAATTTTGAATTTCAATCTTTTTCCGGGCTGGCGATATGCTCTAGGATACTATCTCCTGATGCTGGGCAGGGACAGTGAGGTAGCTCCCGGTCAGCCACAGGATCAGGAGGACAAACCACCGATACACTTACAGCCGTTCTGTACTCATGCAACCATTCTGGGTTTCACTTTCAGTACAGTACTCAATAAATTACATGAGATAACCAATGCATTATTGTAGAATAGGCTTTGTGTTAGATGATTTTGCCCAACTGTAGGTTAATGTGAGTGTTCCGAGCACGTTTAAGGTAGGCTAGGCTATGATGTTGGGTAGGTTAGGTGTATTAAATGTATTTTCGACTTAGGATATTTTCAAATTACCATGGGCTTAACCCCACTGGACATAACCCCACTGAAAGTGGAGGAAGATCTGTATTTCAAATTTTTCATCAGCTATTTCTCCTTTCTAGTGTTGTGTGTGTGTGTTAAAATACATGTAACATAAAGTTTATCATTTTTAACGTTTTTAAGTGTATGGTTCTATGGCATTAAGTACATTCACATTACATCACCACCATCCATCTCCAGAACTTTTGCATCTTCCCAAACTGAAACTGTAATCATTAAATGTTAACTCCTCATTCCTCTCTCCTGCCAGTCCCTGACAACCACCATTCTGCTTTCTGTCTCTATTAATCTGACTACTCCAGGTACCTCTTGTAAGTGGAATCATACAGTGTTTGTCTTTTCTGTTTGTTTGTTTGTTTGTTAGTTTTTGCCGCACAGCACAGCTTGGGGGATCTTAGTTCCCTGCCCAGGGATCGAACCCCTGGCCCTTGGCAGTGAAAGACTGGAGTCCTAACCACTGGACTGCCAGGGAATTCGCAGTGTTTGTCTTTTGTGATTGGCTTATTTCACTTTGCATAGGTCCACAAGTTTCATCCATGTTATAGCATGTGTCAGAATTTCCTTCCTTTTTAAGGTAGAATGATATTACCTTGTATGCATATACCACATTTTGTTTATACATTCATCTGTCAATGGATGTTTTCCATCCAACGTTTGCTTCTACCTTCTGGCCATCATGAATAATGCTTCTGTGAACATGGGTGTACAAATATCTGTCTGAATCCCTGCGTTCAGTTCTTTTGTGTATATACCCAGAAATGGAATGGCTGGGTCACATGATAATTCTATGCTTCATTTTTTGAGGAACTGCCATACTGTTTTCCTCCTTTGCTTTTTGATGCATGTGCACATTGTGGGCAGAAAACTTTCTGGTAAAATATCAATATTCTGGATTTCGACAAAACTGCCAGCAAATGCTTCATTTGCCTGTAAGATAGTGACTTTTCTTCTCTCAGTAGTAAGTAATTAACGTTACAAATCCATTGCCTTTATTTTTGAAGATACTGTTCCTATTCAGTTAACCACAATTTTGTTTGTGTTCTGGGGATATATTTTTCAATGGTTTTTGGACAGAGTCAAGTATGCCACATGAGGGAAGAGGGGTAAGTTGGGTGATTGGGATTGACATATACACTACTATATATAAAATAGATAACTAATAAGGACCTACTGTATAGCACAGGGAAATCTACTCAGTACTCTGTAATGGCCTATATGGGAAAAGAATCTAAAAAAGAGTGGATAAATGTATATGTATAACTGATTCACTTTGCTGTACACCTGAAACTAACACAACATTGTAAATCAACTATACTCCAATAAAAAATTTTTTTTAAAGTATGCCACATGAAAGCAAAATGAAATTAAAATCAAGCATTTCATTTAAAAAAGAAAACAACTGGGAATTCCCTGATGGTCCAGTGGTTAGGACTCCACACTTCCACTGCCGGGAGTCCGGGTTCGATCCCTGGTCAGGGAACCAAGATCCTGCAAGCCGTGCAGCATGGCCACAAAAAAAGAAAAGAAAACAACTTTGGATGTCTTAATGTACACCCAGCCCGACTGGGACCTGTTCCTTTTACCTAAAAGAGTCAGTTTCAGAATGATCTGATTACTGAATCTAAATCTTTGGAAGTGGGTTCTTTGGTGGGTACACTAAAGTTTAAGAACCACTGCCCTAGGGCATCGTGAAGATTCTGAGTCATCAAAATAATATTCTTTCACTCATCAACAAAGATTTACAATGCAACATTTGCAATGCGACCAGCATCATGCTGGATGTTTGGGATTCAGCCTGACAAAGACAACCGATAAGCACCCTGCTCTCATGGAGCTCACATTCTAGAGTGGGGTAACAGACAATAGATAAACAAATGGTAAGCCAAATCATTACAGGGTATGGTGAATGCTGTGAAGGAAATAACCTAGATGATATGATAAATTAGATCATAGAGAATTAAACCCTAATGCCCTAGGCACCCATTGTATGTAATGAATTAACGTCTCTCCCATGCAAGGGGAATGGTACAAGTTATACACAGTCCTTGAGAGAAGTGAGTACAGAATCACTGTGTTCTGTGGTTTAGATGACGATCTGGTCTGATAAGGGCCAAAGTAAGAAGTGGAAACCTTCTCTGAATATAGTGGTTGGTGGTCAGGGAAGTCTCTGGGGATATAACGTTTACTTGCGACCAAAATAATGAGAAGGAATCAGCCGTGTAAAGAGCTGAGGAAGTACCTTTCCAGTGGGAGAAACTGAAGGTGCAAAGTCCTGAAGTGGAAAACAACTTTCTCAGTTTCAGAACAGAAGAGAAGGCTGTGTGAGAAAGAAAGCAAGTACTATGGGATGAAATTATAAAACAAACAAGGGTGAAGATAATCTTGGGCCTGATGGGCCATGATAAGGAGTTTGAATTTCATTTTAAGTCAATGTATTGATACATTATAAAATATCCTCAATTGAAGGGACTGAAATGAAAAGGATCAAAAGAGGTAAATGTACGTGGAACTTCTTTGTTAGCAATAATAATAGTATCTGCATGTGCAATATTAAGAAGTTTGTTTTTTTCCCTGGATAATCTTCAATAAACCCAAATCAATTCCTGTGCATTTTGATTAATCTCATTGATCAAACTTATTTAGGCGTGTCATCCTCTGATCTCACGTCTGAACTTAAATCCAGCGTGTTAGGACACACTCAAGTATCCATCGCTGTTATGATGGACTGCGTCACTAACAGTGTCCATGGTTTTGCTGCAAATCAAAGGCAACTCCCCAAGGTTTCCCTCTGGAACAACTTAGTGGTAGAATATAGAAGGCATAGGTTTAGGCTTCTATGTCAGAGAAAGAAGAGATAGCACTTGGAAACGCTAATAACTATTCATTAAACTGGTGCCAGAATGCACCGGGACAGAAAGGAGGGGACTCTAGTTGAGTGGAGGAGGGAAGGCTGGGGGAAGTCTGGTTCTCCCTTGGGGAAGGGAGGAGTCCAGGGTGATTTTTGAGAGAGGGTATCTGTCTAGTGGACTTGGGCGGAGGCAAGGCCAAGTCCTAGAAGAAGACAATGGAGGCCATTTGGTTCCATTTAGGAATAGACCCCAGCTGGCAAAAGTAAAGCCAATTCCCGTTTTGTAAGGAAGTTCTGAATTCAAAAAAAGGACTGTATCATGTTTATCTTAAGGGTTGTTCTTATATATTAATATAGTTTTTCCTAGGGGCTTCTTCTCTTCCCATCTGCTTGCAGAAGCTTGAAATTGGTTTAATGAGGAACAGGAAATTCTTTCATAATTGGAAGTAAAAATCAAACTGGCAAACAAACAAATCTACCTTAAAATGCTAATGCCTAGTTGAGGTAATATTTTGGAAAAAACTCATTCTCTTGTGTATCCATCAAAACATATTTAAGTGACACTATCAGATCTCTTCCTATTTCCATAAGGAGACAAGGAAGACAGAAGATATTTGGGAATCTAGAAGGAGATAGGGGAAGGAAAGAAAAGGGAAGCTGAAATACTGAAGACAAGTTTATAGTAAATGTTTATTGAGAGCTAGCCTTATGTTAAGAACTTACCATATATTATCTTTTTTCTTTTTTTTAAGATTCTTTTTTGATGTGGACCATTTTTTAAAGTGTTCATTGAATTTTTTACAATATTGCTTCTGTTTTATGTTTTGGTATTTTGGTCTCGAGGCATGTGTGATCTTAGCTCCCCGACCAGGGATCGAACCCACACCCCCTGCATTGGAAGGCGAAGTCTTAACCACTGGACCACCAGGGAAGTCCCTATCTTTTTTCTTTTATTAATCAGAAAAAAAGTTATTACCCCAAG